AATCGGGCTGCGAACCTTAAGGTCAGCGGTTCGAAACTACCAGCTGCTCCGCGGGAGAAAGATGAGGCATTCTACTCCCGTAAAGATTTACACCCTCGGAAACCCTGTGCAGGGTCGCTATGGGTCGGAACCGACTCGACAGCACATAACAACAACAACAACAACATTGATGTACCTAAAAGAAGGGTGTTGGGTAATTTTCTGATGTGATCCATCAGATTTTCATTGGCTAGTTTTTGGAAATAGATTGTCATGTCTTTTTTTCCTGGTCTTAGCCTGGAAACTTCACTGAAACTTGTCCACCATGAATGATTTGGCTGGTATTTGAAATTCCAGTCGCATAGCTTTCTGCATCATAACAACAAACAAGCCACCACAGTTTGACAAATTGACAGACAAGTGGAAGATACCTTAATCTTGGCTACATTTGTGTTGTCACCAGTGGATAAGTAGTATAATGAAAACCAGCGGTTATCTCAGTGTGCTTGCATTCCATTCTGACTAGGTGTTGTTATAGTGCAACCATAAAGACAGGGACTACTCACTTCAAATTATGAATACAATGAAGATGTAAGGATGGGACTATAGATGACTGAATATCAAAATGCAGTATGATTGAAATGCAGCAAATTTTTTTATATCACTTTCAGAAAGTGTACTCTTAAACTTGGCTACTTGGTGATCCTAGAGGAATGTCAGGTAATCCTAAACATTATGGTAAGGTGTGTCCAACAAATTCCTTAGCTCACTAGGCAGGTTGGTTGTTTTGTTGTTTTTTCCCACTAGACAGTTTTTACGGATAATGAATTATTTGGTACCCAGTGATAAAAACCCATGTTCCTCCCCTCCCCCAAAACAAAACACACACAAAAATGTTTTTGAGCTAACTTAAAACTTTTCCTTAACTTTTCCTTCTCCAGAAATTGGATTTTGCCAATAATGTTCAGCTGTCTTTGACTTTAGCAGCCCTCTCTTTGGGCCTGTGGTGGACATTTGATCGTTCAAGAAGTGGTCTTGGGCTTGGAATTACCATAGCATTTCTAGCCACTCTGATCACTCAGTTTCTTGTATATAATGGCGTTTATCAGTAAGTACATGCTTCCCATCTTTGCTGTTGTGTATACACTTTGTAAAACACTTATTTTTTAAAAAATAAATACCCACATTTTATTTAGCTTTACAAAATACATGACATACATATATTAGATTTAGATTAGAAATTCTCAGTATGCTGGTTAAGAATAACATACTGGTTTTTCTTGATTACGATATTAAAAAATGCATTCTCCATAATTTAATGTAGAAGAATACCAAACAGTAACAGTAAAACAAATCTTTCTGTTATTAACATGTTTAAATGTTTCATTATTAATGTGTAACCCGTGTATCCCATTAATGAAAATCTTTAACCCAAACTTGACTCGTTAGTGAAATCGCCTGCTAACCTGCTACAGCATAAAAGTATTAATATACATACACACAGTGAGCAGTGAACGACGAACTACAGTGGTTCAAGCTCACCAACTGCTCTGCAGAAGAAAGATGAAGCTTGCTGTAACAACAACTATACACACACACACACACACACACACACATATATATATAGTATACATATAGTGCTCTGGTAGCGTAGTGGGTTACAAGTTGGGCTGCCAACCACAAAGTCAGAAGTTCAAATCTACCTCTACCATCTGCTCTGGAGGAGAAAGATGAGGCTTTCTCGCCTATAAAGATTTACAGTCTAAAACTGTACAGTGTCTCTATGAGTCAGAATTAACTTCACAGCATATAATTACCACATATATATATATAAAATATATGTCCTGGTTTGGCACTGTAGAATAAGAACCAGCTTAACAGCACATAAAAACAACAATATAAAGAATGTGTGTGTATGGAGTCCTAGTAGGTGCTGCAGGATAATGGACAACCACAAGGTCAGTTTGAATCGCAAAATCAAACTAATCAACTTTCCTCAGAAACCCACACAGTCACTATGAGTTGGAACCGACTCCATGGCACTTAACAAATAGTAATACTTGTATGTCTTAGCAGGTACTTTGACTATATATTGTTTTTTATTTTTCTAGGTATACATCCCCAGATTTCCTGTATATTCGTTCTTGGCTGCCATGCATATTTTTCTCAGGAGGTGTAACAGTAGGAAATATAGGACGACAGCTGGCTATGGTAAGTGAATTGCCTTCTCTCTGAGTGCTTTGGGGCTTTGATAGAATTGTTTTACATAAAAACCCAAACCACTGCTGTTGAGTGGATCCTGACTCATCACAACCCTGTGGGACAGAGGCACTTCTAGTCAGGTAGTTTCCAAAGCTGTAACCTTCATAGAAACAGACAGCCACATCATTCTCCTTTGTGCCAGCTGGTAGGCTTGAACTCCTGACCTTTCCACTGACAGTCAAGCACTTAACCACTGTGCAAGTAGGTAAGGACACCAGGTGCTTTTTCTGCCAGCAAGGACCTAGAGTTCCAGTGCAACCTCTTCATTTTAACAGATGCTAAGTGACTTTTCTGAATTCAGTGTATTCTCCATAATGAATAACCACTCTATTAGGAGACAAGGTATTGAAATGGCTATAGAAAATAGTTTATTATGAGTTTCTTCCCCTCCTTCAATATCAGAAACAAGTTTGGATGTTGTTAATGCAATGGCACTTTGGATGTCAGCCTGATGATGTGGAGGCCTGTCTTTGCTCAGGGCCTCTGGACCAGGACACAGGCCTGGGTAAGTGGACAGAAGTGCTCCAGGGTGCTGTGGGCCTGGGTGAAAGGAGACGAGCTGCTCACAGCATGGATGTCTGCAGCCTCCTTTCTGAGCAGGTTACTTTTCTCATTGAAGGAGAAAACATTAGTGTCCTGATAAGATGAAATGACAAATTAATTCGTGGATGATTTTAACAGTTCTTTCCAGTAATTAAAAATTGGCATTGAACACTTTGATAAAGAAAAGTAATCATGGATATTTAAGTGCTATTTTAAGTTAACTTGGATTTGAGGGCATAAGTAAAATGAACTAAAAAAAGAAAGTAGAGTTATTAGAAGGGTCATTACTCTGAGAGATAAACTCTGGGGCTTTCCCAGACAACTTATCCTGGCATCTTATAAGCTATTTTTAATAACAGCACTTTTATTAAACTTGAAATCTGCATGGCTGTTTGACAAAAATCTAAGTAGTCTCAAAAAGATTAGAATTGGCACAGTATTCCCCTGGTTCCTGCATTGACAACATCTTCTCTTCACTGCTGTAATTCATCTTTTCTGCTGCTTTGACAGTTAAGACTTAGTTGTAAAAACTTTGTTTCTTAAGTTCCTTATTAAAAATCTGGTCAAACATAAAAATACTGTGTTTCTTCCTCCATGCATTCAACTCATTTCCCCTTATTACCCATCTTTTTAGTTTTCAAAATACAATGAGACAACCCTGTAATTATTTTATTACTTTGAGATTTTTTTATTTCAATCCCCTTTAATAGAGAATTCATAATTAAGGCATTTAAAATAAAATTGTCTTCAACCGGTTTGACTGCTCATAAAATTGAAATGTTGTTAAGTGCCGTGGAGTCAGTTCGAACGCATAGTGACCCTGTATAGGGTTTCTAAGGAGCAGCTCATGGGTTTGTACCACCGACCTTTTGGGTAACAGTCTGGTTCTTACTTATCCTGATGCACCACACCAGGACTCCAAAATTAAAAAAGATAAGCACCAGATCCTTGGTTTCAACACAGGGTCACTATGAGTGGTATTACAGATTCATGATGAAGGATTTTTAGAGCCAATGTAGAATAAACATCTTGAAGGACTAGAGATAGAAATGTCACAACATGCACAAGTTCTAAGCATCTAGAAATGGTTTTAAAAGTGTTGCACAAATCATACCCTTTGAAAATTATACTACTTGAAGATAGCTCAAATATAGTGGTCTCTGCTGGGCACCTTTGATACCTACAGTAAAAAAAAAATTAAAGATAACTTAAAACAGAATGTTTTTGTCTGCTGTCAAGTCACTTCTGACTCATAGTGACCCCATGTGAGTAGAACTTAACTTTTCTTAACTGTAGTCTGTATGGGAGCAGATGTTGTTGTTAAGTGCCGTCGAGTCGGTTCCGACCCATAGCGACCCTGTACAGGGTTTCCGAGGGTGTAAATCCTTACGGGAGTAGAAAGCCTCATCTTTCTCCCGCGGAGAGGCTGGTAGTTTCGAACCGCTGACCTTAAGGTTCGCAGCCCGATTCGTAACCACTACGCTACCAGAGCTCCCACAAGCTGCTGATGGGTTCAAACCACCAACCTTTTGGTTCTCAGTAGATCGCTTAACCATTGCGCCACCAGGGCTCCTTTAAAGCAGGATAGTTGGCCTAATTGTAATTCTCCTTATGTAAACTTGCTTCTCTGTTTTACTCTTACATGGAGGGAGAACTGATATTTGGATATCATTATTGGGTCTTGAACTGGGAGAGAGACTAGGGTCATTTTCCCTACTTAGCTGTCAAAATGAAGCAACTTCCCAGCTCTCAGCCCTACCTCCAACCATACCAACCAGTTTTCTTTTCTTGAAAATTTAAGTCCTTACCTCAAGATCCCAGCCAAAGGTAAACTGTAGACTTCTCCGAAGTTTGACACTTACGTGCAATGTAAGAATGTAATTGCAGCCGGTTTTACCGAGTCTACCTCAGACTGCACCCACCCAGCATTAATCCCTAAAGTGAATTGGTAACATGGGGGCCACTCCAGTCTGCTGCTAAGGAGTAAGAAAGCGTGATCCTGGCCTCTAGATTTTGAGACTCACTGGCAAGCACGTACTAAACAATGTGAGGACGTGTAAAGCTATCCTTTTTTACTCTTAGAGCCAGGAGGTGGCAGTGGGGTGGCCAGAAGAGCCCTGGCGGCTTCTGTTAGAACGACTCCTTTGGAGGCCGCAGAGTTGAAGAGTCAAGTCTGGAGCTTCTCAAGGATTACTCAGTCCGATTTGGCCAAGAACAGTGGGCGTGCAGCGCTCCTATATACTGCAGTGTGTATTAGCAAATAGAGATGAGTGAGGCATCAAGGAATTAAAAGTAATTATTTCTGGGGAAATCGATTTGCAGATGTTCTTTTAAGGTTTGTTTTTTGTTGCTATCCTACATTTTTATAGCGAGAACAGTTCTTTTATCATCAGAAACATGTAAGATGTGTAGTGGAAATTTAGGGCTCACGTCTGTTTAGGGGGTATTTGTAAGATATAGGAAGACTTGCTGATGAGTTTTATTTTAAATGTGTTTACTGGGAGGTAAACCTGCATTCACTGCCACAAAACCACTCTGCTTCTGCGTCTAGCCTCCTATTTCAGAAAACTATGCCTATCATTTTACTGGGAGCAGCACCTTGAGTTGAGTTGGGGATAACAAGAAAAGTGGGGAATGAGTCACTGAGTCCTCCCAGTCCACCCCCACACACACCCAGTGCTCAGGCCAGGTGCCTTTACTATCCCCACATCTGTCCTTGCGGAAGCTTAGACCAGATCCTCCCCTCCCCACAAGTCTGAACCATTAGAGTAGCCTCCACCTTTGCCTCTTTGATTCTCTTGCTTTCCCTCCTGTAATCCCAAAACAGAAAATAACCCACTGCCAAAGAGTCAAGCCCGAGTTGTAACCACCATATGTTGTTGTTGTTAAGTGCCGTCAAGTCGGTTCTGACCCACAGTGACCCTGTATAGGGTTTCCAAGGAGCATCTGGTTAGTTTGAACTACTGACCTTGCAGTTCAGACAGCTTTGCAGTCTGGTGCATTAACCCGCAGCACTACACCAGGACTCCAACAACCATATAGGACAGAGTAGAACTGTCCTGTAGGGTGTTAAAGGCTGTCGTCTTTACGTAAGCAGATTACCACATCCTTTCCGCGGAGCGATTGGTGGGATTGAACTGCTGACTTTGGTTAGCAGCCAAGCAGCTTTAAGCACTCTGCTACCAGGATTCATTTTTCGATCCCTCGTCTCATTTCCTGAAAGCAGTAGAGAGTCATAGAAAAGTACTACTTTGTGGAGAAAGTTCTTTAACAAGAATTTCACATTTTAATTCAGTTGACTCTTGGGCCTTAGATCCCCTCTTCTCGTAAGCCAACATTCCATCCTGAAAAAAAGAATATTTCTTATCTAAATTTATGTTTTTATTTTTTAATATAAATAAAATTAGTATTATATGTGCAAAAATCTGGCACCAACCATCCCTCCCATGACATTCTTAACTGAGTTCAGCAATTCATTGCAGTGCCCACACAGAACTCAGGCGCCATACTCATAGTTAAGGGGTGTATTAGGGAAGTAAAAAGGTTATAATACAGGATCAGAAAATGCTCAAGGCACAGTTCCAGACAGCTGCTGAGAAATGTCTACAAGACACACCACTCCACCATAAGTCTCAGCATGAAGGCACTTGGCTCTAGCTTCCCCACTTAATTGTCTTGAGGCATCCCACTCTGCAAGCTAGCCTCCTTCCCAAAGTCATTCAGCTTTACTCGCTCTGTGGGCTGAGAAGCACCCTGCTCTGGATCTTGGTTCTTCTGCTGCTATTCCTCTGCCATTCCTCCAGCTTTCTGTCCCTTGGTTGAGGAAGTTAAATGCACAGGGATCTCAGGGTACAAAGGACATGCTCCTCTCCTGGCTCTTCTTGATGGTAGTGAGATCTCTCCCCTGCTTCTGAGATGGTTCATTTTAATCCCCAGGCTAGAGGTTTAAGTTTTTATAATCAACAATTACTAATATCTACAGCTGAATCATGTCATCTTCTCCTACCTGCGTTACCCAGACCCAACAGAGCAGAAATGTTAGGTGGGAGTTACAGACTGGCTAGAAGAGACATTACATAATCCACTACACCACAACAGCATGGAGCCTATGGTGCATTTTTTGTGATAATAGAATTTGAATTATAGGCAACTATTTGCTTCAGTGTACATCAGAGCTATGAAATGCACATTCATAATAAGGTTTTAGAAGATTTCCTATAGCGTTGAGTATCCCTGTCAGTATAGTTTTTCATAGTACCTTCTGCTTTTAAGGCTCCTCCCCTGCATAAAACTAGCTGAAGATGGTTTTAGTGAGCAGGAGTGAGAGCAGTTGTATTTACAGGAAGCAGCCAAGTAGTCTTGAGACCCAGTCCACAAGCCAGATTTGGAATTTGATTGCTAGCTAT